AAATTCGCGTAGTCTCAATTACGTTAACAGAAGACTTAAAAATGTTCTCCGGGAAAATCATTTCTCTTGTAATTCCTTCAGCAACATCCCAACCAAGTTTTCCGCGTGAACCTGAACGAGAATCAAAACAGATAGCTCGCGAGGTGTATTTCGTGCGAGCATTCCTCGATAAACGGTGATTTATAGCCTGTACAAGGAAACAAGCTGCTCTGTAAAAGCAGAAGCGTGTATTTTCGAGCTTCGACTTCCTCTGACTTCGGCGAAATAAAAATATCGCAACGTTTCGCGCTAACGCTACAGAACGTTCTAATTTTTACACAGAGAGAAAGATATTCCTTTTTTTTTTTTTAAATAAATAAATAAATGCGTCGCGTTATTTTCCCGGCCGCATCGACGTGGGCGTGTGTTTGCTGTGCGTAGAATGTATAATTAGAAAAGGGGAGCATTAGTCCAAGTTAAGATATTCTGGGAATTCAGTGTCGTGCCGTGAAATTCTTGGCCCCTGTTTGCCAGGTTCACCCTGCGCCGCCGGAAGCTTATGCAATTACATGATTAAAAGAGGTCACCGTGCGCTATATGCGGTGCATTAGAGACGCGAGCGAATTTTCATCATCTTTGCCCCGTTTCTATCTGCGTTTCTACATTGTACGTTGTGTAACCTAAGCGGCTCGATAAATAGTGCCGCGTTAATTCTGCATCCGCGTAAATCTCTCGCCAGCTTGTTGCTCCGCCGGAATAACGTTGTAAACACTTTGTTGCGAACAGCGCTCTCGGCAAAATTTTCTCACTTCGGACGAGAAGAGGCGAAATTTTTATTTTTTCAATTTAACGCGTTCGAAAAATATCAATTTTTGACAGAACTTCAGGGTGAAACGAAAAAGTCACATTGAAATATTTTATTTCTGCTTAGATATCGATGATATCGCGTTTTTATCACTTCAATCCACTTTGCTGCATAGCCTTGAATCCAAGAGTATTCTTTCTCGCCAAATGGAAGTTCCACTTCGAGAAGCTGTCGTGGAAATGAGTGATACGCGCTGCGATTAATCGTGTTACAGAGCAGGAACCGAAAACGGTAATTATTTCAAGAAATTTTAGTCGAAATATCGTTGAGAAAGGATTGTTTGTTGCTCGATATGAAGGAAGTGGTAGGAAAGTTTTTGAGAGATTTAGTTTGGATGGAATTTTTAATTGCAATTTTTCGATTAGAAAATTCTGAATCGATAATTGGTTCAAATTTATCTGGAAGAAAAATTTCGACGAACGATTTAAAGAAAGGGGTTATAGGCAAATTATCGCGTCGATTTCCCCTGTAAACTCTATTCCACATGAAATTCATGCGAAACGACGCTCCAATCGCTTTTTCTTTATTTGCAAATCGTCGGGGTCAGTCGGTCTCGATCTCCCAACGCGTCTATTCATCGTACGATTCGCATCGGAATATGCATAACCAGCTCGCACGCGCATATGAAAACATCGTTCCACGGCGAATCGAATCGCCAACAGGTTCCACTTCCTGTTTCTAGCCTATTTTCTATTCTTCTCCGTCGTAGGTCGAGCCGTTTATATCCATTGTCGCCAAATCGAATGTTCGATTATAATTCATTAATAATCAATCATCGGTCGCGTAATAATAGAAGTCAAGAGAACCTGGGGGGAAAAGAACATTCGCGAATTCGCTACGAATTTTCACCCTGGCGAATTCTTCGTTCGATTTCCACTAGGGATGATGTTTTACGAAAATCCGAATTTCACCTTGGAACAGTCGAGTTATTCGAATCATTCGGATAATTCGAGTCGACCTATTCGAATGATTCGGATAATTCGAATCGGCCTATTCGAATCATTCGGATAATTCAGATAATTCGAATTATCTGAGTAAAGAATTGGTTTTCGAAATTTTTCGAATTATTGCGGATAGCTTGCGTGTTCGAAGCTTCACATCCCTAATTTCCACCCTCTGATCTTTTTCACGCTCGGATGAATATTTTTTTTCGAACGGAAACACTAAAAACACGAGGGTCGACGAGGAGAAAAGCCTCGTCCCTCGAAGCAAACGCGGCATAAAATCGATACATTGTCCAACAGTTGTACAACATATACTTCAGCCTCGATTTACTCTTCTACCACCTACCCCTCGTGTCGTCTTCTTCACGCTCCACCCTTTCCTCCTTCTCGTGCATTTTCCTCGCGAGAATTTCGGTCAACCGGCTAACAGCCACTCGAAAATCGAAGGACAATGGATTGTCTTAATTGTATCATACGCCTCGGAGTGTCTGATCTCCTTGCTTCCATTCTGTCGTTCGCTGGGACAAAAATGGAAGAAAGGTAGCTCCACAGGATGCTCGAGGTAATCGAAATCGAAAACGATTTTAGTGCTGTTCAAATGAAATTCGTCAGATTTAACGGGAACTCGGGGAAGGAAAGAAGCTCGTGGGTTGATTATACGGTAAATCGAGACGTCTAGGGCGGATTTTAAGTATTTGAGAGATGCCTAACGCCTACATAGCCTACGGTCAATATTTGCGGGAAAAAATAGCTCGGTCGATGATACTGGACACTATTCATCAATCAACCTACACGAACAAACGTTATGTCCTACATAAATGTCCACGATAGAAGGTATTATGTCGCGCGATGTGAAATGTCGGATTTTTCAGGCAACAGTGAAAATCGTTTTTTAAATTGAAACAAACATCAGCCGTACGTTCTCCAACGGTAACTTATCAAAAATTTTACGAACATCGAGGTAACCCAAGAGTATTCACGTGTACATTTAATTTTCTTCAAAATTCCAATATTTGCGACAGCAAATCCTCCATTGCACAATCTTCTAACGAGAAAAACAGTTTAATCGCCACCGATCTGAAATAAAGAAAATATAACTACGTAATAAATTCAATTATTTTTTTCTCCGACTTTAAGTGTTTCAATGATTTACGGACGACCGGTCAGTCGAATGATTTATGAACGACCAGCGTCGCTGATTTTCGTTAAAATCGTCGCTCCTTGGAGTTAACCCTATCAAACGGTAACGCAAACGTTCCACGATTATTTCTTCGCCGGGAGACTCGAGCCATTGTCCGATTCAACTCGAAACAATATCTATCGGTTGAACTCGAATTCACGATTCACAGGGCGATTCTCAGCCCTCGATTCTCAGTCTGATCCATGTGACCACTCTTTCTGTCTCTCCCTCTCAGCGTTGTCGGACAATTGCACGAACAGATCCCGAAAACTCACGAACCAAGAATCCTCTCAGCGAGCTATGATCCCAAAGGCGATCCTGCTTGGATCTCTGGACACGAGGGAGGAGTTTCTCGGTGATCTAAAAGTGGTTAAAGATGGACCTTAATAAAATCAGATGTTGGTAAATCGACAGAGGAGCAAAGATACCTTCGACGAGCACAGAGGGTTGAACTGCTAACCGACGACCGTACAATTGATCGAGCTTCGCCAGCGTAATCTTGGCACGCGATGAAAGCTCAAGGTCGCGGGCAAAGCTCTATCGCTGTTTCTGTGTCCGTACGTCATAGCCTGGACTCGAGGGAAGTTGCACCTGCTCGTCACCAGGATCACTCGTGCTAGTAACTAGGATCTGACAGACCTAATGAGAATTGCTCGTACGAGCATTCGTCAGCAGTTCAATTTGATCTAATTTATTTTTGTGTTGCTGTAAATGTAGTATCGGGGCCTCCATACCCAAATAGGAAACCTCGAAGAGAGAGCGCAAAACCTCGGCTTGCTAAGCCGAAGGTCCCTCAATATTTTTCCCTAAGTTCCTACGTAAATATGTTGTGAAGTCTATGTTGAGCTGTCTAAGAGATTGTTTCTTCTATTGGACGTACTGGAGAATTTGGGACAAGCCAAGGTCTTCGATTTTGGGTCTAAATCCTCCATAGTTAGCCCCATAATTATGACAGCCAGACTGCCGTCATTGCTGGAGGCTGATCCTGAACTATATGAGATTCTATTGTGGACTGTAGATCAGAAAAGAGCCTTTTTTAGGAACAATTCTGGCCCAATTCACTGGAAACGCTGAGAAAAATCGCGTCTCTCCGATATCACACCGTTTCTCCACTCAAAGTATCACGTTCTAACGATAACAAACTGCATCCTGCAGCGATGATATGCGATGATGCGTCTCTCGGTGTCACCTTACGGTCCGTTTCCAAGCAGAACGGCCAATGAAGCGATTCGACGTCGATGGAAGGGAATTGTTTTCAGCAACGCGCTCTGACGGCTAGGAAAATCGCTGGCCTGAATTAATTTTATTTAAAGTTCATAGACTGCTTCCAATCGTTATCTTGCGTATAGGACCGGCAGGTTAAGCTCATCTCGTCGCATTTTCACTCCGAGAATTATGTCACCATTATTCCATTAGCTCGTGTGATATCAGATATCGGATGCCTGATAACCTTTTTCGTGTTAACCTTTTCAGAGAGGATTTTTCAAATAAATGGTTCATTTGTAACAAAGATATTCTTTGACAATAGGATGTAATTGCAGTAGGCTAAACTATTAGAAATTCTACTGTACCAGGTGTGACAATGAAATTTCGAGAATAATTCGTTGAAAAATTTCTTCTTGAAGATTCGGTAAATGTGAGGCAGTGGTTATTAAATCAGGCGAATACATCGTGATCGATGTGGAATTTAAAACCTCTTTCACTAGAATTGCTGAATGTGCAGGTTTAACTGTTCCCACTTTTGAGGAAAACAGAATTATTCTCGAACTTTATTTTCACCCTTCGTATTTCTTCGATTGGCTGTCACGATCGCTGAAATATCAGTAGAATTCGATTATTCGTATAATAATTCAAATATTCGAATTATCCGAATGAAGAATTCGTGTCTGTTTTCGTGACTTTTCGCTTGGACACAGAGTTCTCTATCGAGTCCACGAATTCCTTCTATTTTGCCCCAGATAAAGTGGAGTAAATTTGAAGAAACACCCTAGCATAAGTGACCAAATACGATTGATTCTCGTTTTCATTGTAGATGTCGATCTCCAGAGCCAAATCGACACGTCGTTGGCTATGCCAGCCACCTATCAGACCCTCGTCGCGCGCGCCCAATTGGCTCAGCAATGCTGCGGATTGGCGCGAGAGCAGACAAGGATCTGCGAGAGGCTGGTGCATGACCAACACCTTCAGCAACAGGGCTGGGCGGCCGTGGTGGCCAACTTGGAGGACATCACGCAGATGTTCCAGTCGCGGGCCGATCTCCTTCATCAGAGCTTCGCCGTTTATCTGTCGGAGAGGCAGCAGCACGTGGAACTGCTCGAGAAGTAAGCAAATTGAAAATAGAACAAAGACTAAACAGAGGAATCGTTCACAGACCGGGATAAATCGAGGCTCTACGTTGTACCGAGTAATTAAGATTGACCGCGGCGTTCAGTTAAACCTAATGATACTAGCCTATTTGCATAATCGCGGGGAGGAGGTCCCCGTAAAGTGAGGTTACAGGTGCTTGACGCGATAGTCGAGCGATATTTCTTCCGAACGACGTTAATTGCGCGCTCGATAGATAGTTGTTTTTTAAAAAGAATTGCCCGTGGATAGTGTACAATGCCAGATGACGTCAAGGTAGACATATGATTACGACGGTGACGCAGTAGGAACAATGGCTAATGTGCTCAGGGGCACGTACTCTGATACAGCGATTAGGAAACAATTAGAGAGTCGTCAATTTAACATCACAAATTGAAATACTTCTTTCAGCTTCAGCGCTGATCTGGGTACCCTAGCGAAGATTCCAATCCTCCCAGCCTTAAGAGCCCAGGCAGAGGGTCTGCAGTATCCGGACGATCAGCCAAGTCAATCTGAGAAAGATTCCGAAGGCAGAGACGAAGTTCTGAGCCTGCTTCGATGGATCTCGGCGAAAGACAATCAGAGCAGCCTGGAACAGGTAGCGGAGCAGTGTTCGCGAGGTCTCGAGCAGTTCGACGAGAGGGTGATGGAGGCGTTGAAGTTAGAGGTGAACGCGGCCATCGACAGCGCGAACAAGCAGGATATGAAAGAGATCAAGGGGTTGGGTGAACGATTATTCGCTCTGGAACAGCTAATGGTGCAGGCTAAGAAGCTGGTTCACGAACAAGGAGAGCTGGCTCATGGATTTTTGCAGAATCAGAGTCGAGCGAATAATCTGGGCGATGCTAGTGTCCTGCCTGATCTATGCACCTCTCACAGACGTCAGTTGCTCGTTATGCTGCAGAATCACAACAAGCTGCGCGATATAAGGCGCCGATGCACCAAGGCGAAAGAGGAGCTGTCTGTGAACATCTACCACAGGCTCAAGTGGATCATGTACGTGGAGAACAAAATGATGGAAGTGGATGGAAAGCTGGTGATGTACCACGAGAGCCTGAAACGTTTAAGAAGGCACCTCGAGGTGTTGCAGCAGATCCATTTGGCGCCTCATATGTACATGAACGCTGTGGCTGAGGTTGTTCGAAGACGAACCTTCTCTCAGGCTTTCTTGGTCTGGGCCAGCAACCTGGCGTGCCAGTTGTTGACTGTTCATAGCGAGGAATTGGCTCGTAGAAGGGAGTTTCAGAGTAAATTCGACGGACACTTCTTGAACACCTTGTTCCCTGGGCTGGAGGACACGCCACCGCCTTTTGCTACGCAAGCACCGTCTGTTTTCGATAACGGGTTACCCAAGGTATGTATTTATTCCTTCTTCCTCCTTATTGAAAGACTTGATAAATCCGTCAAGAGAACTAAACTCCTTTAACCCTCGTACGACGAATGCTGGGTTACTTCGACTCAACAGTGTTAAAGTCAGGCGGCTCAGATTACGCTTGATACAGGAAATACACAGGAAAAATATAAATAGTTGAAAGTATACACATTTATATCCAATTCCTTCCTGAAACTCATGTACAATAGAGATTTGCCTCCCATGTCCGTCTAAAACCATTCGCCTTCCGAGGGTTAAATATGTGTCACTAAGCAAGTCAAATCTTTAACTTAACCGAGAAAGAGAACAATTTGTGAACGATTGTGTTACGTGTTCCAGTTGACAGCAGACGATATGGAATCTCTAAGATCGGAGCTACCAGACCTGGCCTTGGCCGTCTCCTTGCCAGACTTGAACGGCATCACGCAGTTCTTCCTGTCGAAGAGTCTCACCGAGGCCAGCGCTGACTGTAACAAGGAGAAGGACAGCAGCTCCATTTGCGTCGACGCGGCTGCCAAGGAACAGGAGAGGACGAGGGCTCCCATGTTGTTCGACAGGTATCTTTCGATCCAACCTGAATACAACAGTTTCGAACCGCTTATATCACTTTAGACTACAGTCGCTCAAGTAGACTTTCTTTTCCAAAAATTCTTTCTGCGCACAGTGGTTTCAAACTTCTAACTATTATATACATCTTAATTTCTATCGAAACATCACGAAAAATGACTTCTCCCATTTCTTTATGATTTCAGGGGTGGATTCGAGTCGGAGACAGACACGGAGGAATTCGAGAAGATCGGCCAAGGTGCCGCGGATTCTAAGCCGGAGTCGTACAACAGCGCGAAACAAATGCGTCAGAAGCAATTGGAGGTTGGTGCCTCGCGAAGCGTGTCCCCCGCATCCTCCACCTCAACTAACGTGTCCCCGCTTAATTCGAAAGTCGCGGACCTGACGAATCGGTCATCCTCATCGAGCGAGCCCGGATCCTTCCATTTCCCAAGTTTGTCCGTCAGTGAGCGTCCTGCTCAGCTCAGTCCGTTAACAGAGTGTGCAGAAAACGGCGAGTCGAGCTGTTTGCTTCATCGCGTAACCACTAATGCTCTTTCCAATTATCACGAGTTACCGTCGATCACGCCGATCGCGACCGAGGAGCAGAATTCCTTGAGTCCAAATCCTCCCTCATCCCTGTCACGTTCCGTGATGTGCGACGGCCAGCAGCAACAATGCCACCAGCTGTCCAGCAGTGGCAGTAGCAGTCCTTCCATTGGAGTAGGCGCTACTGACTTCATGGGTACTGAGTTTTACATGGAAGAGTCTCTGCCGAGCAGTCTCAGCGAGCATCCAGGCGACGGCCAGCATCAGGCTATCGTTTCCCTTCTCCAGGTACTGGACGACTTACAGCTCGCTAACAGACCTTGTAGTCGTAGCCGTAAACGTTCCATTACCGCTGATATATATATATACATATTACCATACCCTGATTTATTCCCTTCCTGTGTTCCCTTTTATTTTTCTTCTTCTCCACCATATATGTATGTACTGCGTAGAGCTCAGGAGTTTGCTCCTGGAAGGAATGCGGGTCTAATTGGCTCGCATTCCCATAGGGCCACCTTCTCTAAGACAGTCATAAAAATAAGGCACACGTATTGTCATTATCATGAACGCGATAATATCGACGAATCGGATCACGTAACACTGCGTGGCGAAAGATTCAGGCGGTGCTAGTGGAGTACACCTCTTGCCTCTGTGCCGTCCCGGTGGCAAACTCCTGAATTGTACACGGTAGATTTATATATGTATGTCACTGACAAAGTGTACAGTTCAGGCGATGTCCACGCTGCCTAGGCAATGTTGAAAGTGTACCGATTTAAGAATGTTACTTCGTCCTTTGCATAGGCAGGGTGTACATTGCTGGATTTTTACACTTTCCCGGTAAGATATGTATTTACATATTTATATGTGATACACGCTCTTGTTTTGCTGACATTATTCGACTTTTTATAACCTGTATCTATGATTCAGTGTGTACCCAGTTTTACTCGCTCCCTCTGTATTCATTTCTACGTCATACCTCCCGTCTGAGAACCTCGTAAAGCAAACCGTTTGATAGCTGCTCGACGCTGGTCGCTTACCTGAATTTTTATGCCCACTTACTTTCCCTTTCTGTGGTTTTCTAGGTACTTTCGTTGTCATTGTCTATTACATTCGCTATCCAGTAAGCTATTAGCGCTGAGTTTATGCAAAAATACTGTAATTTATCGAAATCGTGTGGGTATGTATTTATTGCCTGCCGTAATTCTCTGACTCGCTGTTGTGTTTGCCGCCCTGTGTTGTGTCGTTGTCTACACACCCCCTTTCCTTTCTCTGTTTTTCTGTTTTGTTTGGTTTTTTCTTTTTCTTATCAGAAGTAGCAGTGCTTGCGTGTTCGAGTTTGTTGTTTTACGACATTAGCCAGCCTACACTCGTAAATCTACGCGTGTCGTCGTGTCTCCGTCTGGTTTTAGTCTCGTGTGAGTGCGTGTGTTTTAATTTTTTTTTACAGGATAGCTGCCGTCGCACTCGATACTCCCGATCCCCTGTCCCCGAAGTACGTTTTCCTCGAGACTTTATATTATTCAACAGAGAGAGAGAGAAAGAGAGGGAGAGAGAGAGAGTGAGACAGAGACAGAGAGAGAGAGAGAGAGAGAGAGAGAGAGTTCGCTTTTCAGAAATAGACCCGACGACTTCGTTCGAGAACCAAGACTGTTATTATACCTGTGTCATACTCATCATCACATATACATACACACATACACAGACACACACCTTTTGGGGTTTTCTTGCTTTTGTCGAATATTTGTTTGTATCCTGAATAATCTCTGAAAGGCAAATTTCATTCTCTTCCATTCACGCCTGTGAACGAGTTTATTTTTTACGTTTTTTTTAATCATGATTAGCTGTCTCGTGGAGTTTTATAGCACGGAAGGGCACGTTCCTTCGTGGATACTCACAGCCACGTCTCTGACGCTCGTCATTTCAGGAGAATCTTGGTAACACGCGCGAGGAGGTGGAGAGGCTTCGTTCGATCCTGAAGACTCTGAAAGCTGTGGTTTGCGAAGCATTGACGTCCGTTCGCCAGGAGTTGGCCGTGCTGAGGGACAGATCGGAGGAGGAGAAGACTGGCTTCTCCAAGATGACCGAACGTGTTCGTGAGGCTTTGTCGTTTTACTCGCGCGAGTATGATCGTCGTCTTCGAGAGCGCGAGCAAGAGCTGACGGTGGATCACGAGTTAGAGATGGCCGATGTTAAGAAGCTGATCCAGAGCAGGGAAGAAGAAGCGTGCATTTTGAAACGTAACCTGCTGGAGAAGGAAACTGAACTGGCGGAGCACGAGCGTCTGGTGACAACTATGAGGCAGAAATTAGAGGCAGAGCAAACTGAGATGAGGGATCTACAGACGAGACTCCACCAGCAACTCGAAGAAGCTCTGGAACAGGCTCGCGTTGAAAAGGAAGCAGCTGTGAAGAAGGCGAACGATGCGAAATTCATGGAGATTGCATCCTTGACGAACACTCTCACGCAGCACCAAAAACGGATCCAGGAGCTGGAGGAGAGCTTCAACACGGCGCGTAACGACCAGCAGAGTTTGGTGAAGGAGGCTACTGAGAAGTTGCAGATAGAATACAAGTCGAAACTGGAGTCGGTCGGGAACAGGTTGCTCAAGCTGATGCCCACGTCAACCATGGAGAGGAGCCCCAGTGACAGCAGCCTTGAGAAGATCGAAGTAAGCATTCTTACGAAGAAATTATTTTGTTCAATTTCTTGAATTGGCTTAATAACAAAGTCGCTATATTATGTATTTTTATTGTGAGCCAGAAAGGGTTAAAAATTTCATTAACGGAGCTCCTTTCTTTCCTTCCAGAGACCAGATGTCGCCGAGTTAGTCAGTCACATCCTGTCCCAAGCGAAGGAGAGCATGAACTTGGAGAGATCCGTTGCTATACGAACAGCCATAGAGAAGGAACGGATAGACTGCGTGGTGAAATTGGACCGTGAACTAATTCTAGCCAGGCAGGTGATCGAGGAGAAGGACATGGAGGTAGAGATGTATAGGATAAGGGAGATAGCATTGACAGAGGAGTGCAAGCGTTACAAGAACGAGATCAGACGTTTGACGGAGTCGGATAGTTTCAAGAGCATCCTTGGCGAGGCAAGTCTGCACAAAGAGCACAGCGATGAGCAATTAGAGATGAGTCAGGGTAGTCTGAAAGAGTTAGAGAAGCGTCTAGAACCGGAGAAAGACGAGGTAGAGGTGTCTGAGTCGAAGAAGGTGCGACTGGAAGCGAGCAACAATCCCAGCTGCTTGTCCAGAAGGTTGGAGATCCTTGAGAACGACAACAAGAGGTTGACAGCTGAGATGCAGGCGCTTCGAGAGAGCAAAGAATCGGCCGAAGAGAAGATCGAGGCTTTGGAGGCTGACAAGGTGCGACTGGAGATCGAGTTAGTGAAGGAAAGGTCCAGAAGTTTCGCTGCTCCTGACTCGTCGTCGTCGTCTGAGAGCCGCGAGAAGGATATGAACGCCTCTGTGGCAGTAGTTACAGAATCTGGCGCTCTCAGGGACGCCGCGACCAGTCCAAAGCCTCAACGTCGGCGAGATTGTGCCATGGGCATGTCACTCGTGGAGCAGAAGATGAAACAGATTGCGAAAAAGCTGGTAGAAAAGGGTCACATAACGGTGACCAGTTGCGAGCCGGGTGACAAGGTGTTGTTGTTCTGGGATCCAATGTATAAGACGTATATCCTGTACCAGGAGTCTATGACGTTCTATTTCCTCAACTCCGATTGTTTCTCTAGCTTGAATCTGTGCTCGACTTCTGGCGAGACACCGAAAGATATGCATACCATCGTTGAGGTTGTGGATAAACAGTACTGTCACGCTAGGAAGGTTAGATCCCTTTTCTCCTTAGCCTTCAGTTTGATTAACCCTTTAACTGCGTCTTCACTTTGAGCATTTACAACATGAACAGTTAGTTCACATGCCAATTTTACACTGTCTTGATGTTCGATCACTTTCTCTTCTTCAAGGCCATTTCCTGGCCATAACTCAAACATGCTTAAATGCATATTAACAACCGTTGCAAAATGATATAGAACAAACTGTATGCTGTTTTGCAAACATATACCGGTGACCTTGAAGAAATTCGAATAAAAATGACCCTAAAAAGGAATATTCCTGCCGCGATATATTTCTCCTTCGAAATCATTCGAATTACACTTTAAACATTTCTAATATCATTAAAAGCAAAAGAGATGTTCATTTTACGCTGGTGCACCCAGTGAACTGTTACTATTTCAGGACATATTTATACGTCTGTCGCAGTTAAAGGGTTAAAAGGAAACTTTAAGAAGTCTTCTTCTAGTTTCTCCTTACTTGGTATATCACAAAATCACGCAGCATAAACTTACGATAAAATTGTGACTTGTTTCAGGCGGAAAATCGGTATCGCGTGCCGCAAGGCACCAAGTTCTACCGGGTGGTCGTGAAGCCTGTGAACGATAGTGCATCTCTGATGACGAGTATACAAGAGTAATGACGGTGGCGGACAGAGAGAGGAAACGTGAGATCCATCGATTCTCCGCCGATCGAAGAAATGAAATAAAGCCCTGTGACCGCGGATCCGTGTCGCGGGGATGAACACCTGTGGCCTTGCACGTGCAGTTCATCCGTTGCGCGGATCCTTAGCGTATATATACGTGTTTGCGACCATCCGGAAACCCTCGGATCAAGGCCAAAACCTGCCAGAGCCTGTAGACGCATCCTTGAACGTTCACGGACCAGAAGGAACGAAGTTTCATTTTTTGGCTGATCGAAAGCTGGTTGTTTGAGAACAGAGAGGTACATATCTGGGTACCGCCGTTAGTTTTGTGGGTGTCACACGGATCGATTAGGGATCAGAGACGAAAGGATGCGCTGGCGTTTTATTGTGATATAAATAATTTTAACGGAAGCAAAAACAAGAAAAAAAAAAACGAAAAACAAATTGACAAAAAAAGAAACAACAACAAATGAGTGAAACATAATTGCCGAATGCTGTGGTTAGCTGTGAAGCGTGTAAAACGACGTTTGTATTCCTTTTTCCTTTTTTTTTTCACAGACCGAGCGAGAAAGAGTGGAAGCGTGTGCGAGATGGAGATAGATAGATAGATAGATTGATAGATAGATAGATAGATAGATAGATAGATAGATAGATAGATAGATAGATAGATAGATAGATAGATAGATAGATAGATAGATAGATAGATAGATAGATAGATAGATAGATAGATAGATAGATAGATAGATAGATAGATAGATAGATAGATAGATAGAGAGTATGTTGGAGCAAGAGATATAACGAAGCAAAACCGCGAATATAAATATTATTATTATTATTACAACTACTATTACTACTACTACTACTACTACTACTACTACTATTACTGCAACTACTGCTACTACTACTACTACTACAACTACTACTACTACTACTACTAATACTACTACTATTATTATTATCTTTGCACTGTGTGTGAAAAAAAAAGAAGCGAAACGAAGCGAAGTGGAGCGGAGAGAAACAAATTGTAGTAGAGTAAGTTTTACAAAGAAACCGTTGGGAAAACGAAGAAAAAAAATCATATAATAAGCGTACACTAAGGAATAGAAGT